CTGGTTTCGTGGTATGGGGATCTAACCTGGGGCTTTGTGCATGCTAGGCAAGCACTCTACCAATGGAGGTACACCCCAGTTCAGCCTGGCCTCTAGAGTTTCTCATCCTTGGAGTTTAATTTTTCATTTCAATATGCTTCCTCTTGTTGAGGGTCCTTCCTTCAATGCACAGGCATAAAGTGTCTTCCATATTGATTCCACCACAGCTACTATCCTCCAGGAGCCACAAAATGACAGCAGCCATCCGGAATGGACCCAGGAGGCAAGAAAAAACTGAAGGCCAGTGTACTGGCAAGTCAGGGGACAAACAGCCTGGAGATTAGGATCCCAAAGGGTTTCACTGACCTGAAAACAAGGTACTGTGCCTGCCTAAAGGGAAGGTGGTATCTGGAGCAAGAAACAAAGAACCCAGGGAGGGTAAATGGTACTCACATCCCTCTTAGCCTCCTGGGCAGGTGAAGACCTAGAGTTAGAGACAATCAGCAAGTACTGTGGGGCCTGAGATGGCAAAGTCGAACTGGGAGGGGCCACTCTCCTGTCCTTGGAATAGACCCAGCAGCAACAGCAGGACCCATAGCTGATGACACTTGAAGTCACTCAGAGATACTCCAAGGCAGCAGAGTATTCTGGGGGCCATATCCCTTCTGGAGGGTACTTGGGACAAGTGGAAATGTCCCCAGAAATACATGATTACCCTGAACCTCAGACAGCAACATTTTTTGGAAAGAGTTTTTGCAGATGTGACTAGTTAAACTGAGGATATACTGGATTTGGGTGGCCTTAAATCCAATGATGGCCATCCTTATAAGAAGTCTTGCCAGGGGTTGGAGAGATGAGTCAGCTGTTAAAAACGCTTACTGCCCTTGCAGAGGATCTGGGTTCAGTTCCTAACACCCACATTAGGTGTTCACAATCGCCTGTAGCTCCAGTGCCAAGGGATCCTATGCCTTCTAAACTTCATGGGCACATGCACTTAACTTGGTATATATCTGCATGGTCAACTCGTGTAGGCACACATACAAACCCATAATAAATAACTAAATCTTTGAAAAAAGATGAGGGACTGGAGAGATGGCTCAGTGGTTAAGAGCACTGGCTGCTCTTGCAGAGGACCCAGGTTCCCAGCACCCAGATGGTGGCTAACAACCATCTGTAACTCCAGTTCTAGGGGATCCATTGCCTTCTTTTGACTTCCTTGGGCTTTGCACGACAGGGGTGAACTTACATGCATGAAGGCAATACATTCATACACATAAAATAAAATATTAAAAAAAGATGAAGTATGCAGGGCATGGTGGTGCATACCTTTAATCCCAGCACTCAGGAGGCAGAGGCAGGCGGATCTCTGTGAGTTCAAGGCCAGCCTGGTCTGCATAGTGAGTTTCAAGCTGGGGCTACAGGGAGACCCTGTCTCAAAAAGACAAAAAAGGAAAGAAAAGAAAAGAAAAGAAAAGAAAAGAAAGAAAGAGGAAGGAAGGAAGGAAGGAAGGAAGGAAGGAAGGAAGAGGAAGAAAGGAAGAAAATAAGAGAATAGGTTGTGTGAAGATGACAGCATTGACAGGAGTGATGCAGCAGCAAGACAAGAAACACCAAGGGTGGCTGGCAGCCCCAGGATCTCCTTGACTTTCCAGAAGGAACCAGCCCTGCTGACTCAGTTTGGGCTCTGGCCTTCAGAGAGACAGAGAATAAATTCCTTTTGTTCTAAAGACATCCAGTTTGTCATCAGTGATTAAGGCAGCCACCGGAAGCTAATTTAGCACTAGAAAGGCAGGGAACTTCAAGATTCAAGAGGACAGGCAGGCATTGGAGTCCCCCAACTCCCCTCAGGTGTGGGTGCAGACAAAAGGCTTGGGACCAGGAAAGAGAGGTGCTTTCTTAATTTGGTACCCCCAAGGATCTCCAGGACAGCAGGTTCAATCAGGTTGACTACAAACACAGTTGGAACTCTAGGCAGGTAGTAGCCATCCCATAGGGATCATCTTCACAGTCCTTATTGTGCTGGTTGACGCGGTCATAGTTGATCTCAGCTTCACAAAAGCCACAGTGACTGGAGGAGCTTGGAAGAGGCTCCACAGCTGCAAGCATTAGCTCCCACCCCAGGCCTATGGGTGGTCACACAGCCTCAGTTCCTCCCCCTTGCTTAGGGTCCTGCTGCTGGGAAGCAGTGGTTTACAGCCTGCACTACAGGCAGGATGTCCCTTGGAGAGGCATACTCCAGAACTCAAAATAGCATGAAATTTAATTTTCCGCCTATTTGACAAGGCTTGGACAGGGCCCCATTCGGCAGCACAGATAAGGGTTCTCGGATCCAGGGTGTGGGCCAGCTGGGCCTGAGGCAAACACTCCACCGTCCCCCGGCAGGCTGCATGCAGGTGAGGCAGTCTGCAGGCGCTCCCCCCGCGGGGCTGTGGTTGCTGGGCGCTAAAGTAAACGCCCTCTGTTTGCCCAGTCTGCAATGACAATGCCGTCGCCAAATATTTGCCAGCCTTAGGCGACTATGGAGTCCAGCTATAAATGCTTGTGCCCAGGTGGAAGTGGGCCTGTTGAGTGAGTGTTGCAGCCCATCAGGTAAGGAGCCTAGCTGAATGGGTGGGAGTCTTCCAGGGTGGTCACAGTACTTGCGGGGGGGGGCAGACGGACTCCCTCCCACTGAGAAGGTGCCTGCACTGAGCTCTCCACCAGTAGGCATCCTCAGAGGCCAGTGTCAGGACCACTGGAAACCTCTTGCAACAGGGGGACCCACCACTGTAAGCAAGATGTGGACAGAATAGCCAGCCCCAGCAAGGTGGGGGAGATGCAGGAGGCCCCTCCCCACTCACCTCTGCTTCCCTACCTCAGGGTCTCAGGAAAGCAAGGAAGGTCCTAGGACAGCCTGACCCTAAGGGGAGGGAATCTGGTCAAGGGGCTACTCATTCCCAGGCCCCTCAGAGAGAGATTGTCTTCTGACCCACTCCATCAGGTCTCTGCTCCCCTTTCTTTCTCTGTCTTGCTGGGGCACACCCCTGCCTCCATGTAGTGAAGGGGCCTAGTGATTCCAAGATTCAGATCCAGCTCTACAGGGCCACTGGCCAGGAGTGCTACAATGCTCCCTTAGCTGCCTTCCCCAACCCCCATTCCTCACTTGAAACCGCAGGTTCAGTGGTTGTAGGCCTTCCTGATGTTCCACTACTTCAATCTCTTCCATCCTTAGCAGGAGATAATGGAGTGGGGGGGAACCCAGGTGTCTTCTCATATTGTAGTCATGTGTCAAATCAAAACCTGGGGCTAGCTGGGGATGGGAGCCCACTCTTTTAATCCTAACATTTGGGAGCCAGTCACAGGTAGATCTGTGAGATTAAAGCCAGCCTAGGCTACATAGTGAGTTCCAGGCCAGCTGGGGTTACAGGGAGACTGTCTCGAAACAAAAATACAGGGGCTAGAGAGATGGCTCAGCAGTTAAGAACACTGGCTGTTCTTGCAGAAGACCTGGGTTCGAATCCCAGCATCCACATGGCAGCTAACAACTGTCCATAACTCCAGTTCCAGGGGATCTGACAGCCTCTTCTGTCCTCCACAGGCACTGCACGACATGGGTGCACTTATCTACATGCAGGCAATACACACATACACATAAAATAAAAATAATAAAATATTTTTTAAAAACCAAAAATATAGCCGGGCACAGTGGCGCAGGCCTTTAATCCCAGCACTCGGGAGACAGAGGCAGGTGGATCTCTGTGAGTTCGAGGCCAGCCTGGTCTCCATAGTGAATCCAGGACAGCTGGGGCTACAGGGAGACCCTGTCTCAAAAAGACACACACACAAAAAATACAAACAAAATCTACTTGGGGCTAGTTGGGTGTGGCAGTCCAATGTCATTCCTCTACTCAGGTGGCTAAGGCAGGAGGACTAAACAATGAGATCTTTTTAAAAAATTTTTATTATTATTATTATTTTTTTTTTTTTTGAAGCAGGGTCTCCCTGTAGCCCCAGCTGTCCTGGAACTCACTATGTAGACCAGGCTGGCCTTGAACTCACAGAGATCCACCTGCCTCTGCCTCCCAAGTGCTGGGACTACAGGCGTGCGCCACCATGCCCGGCTATTTATTATTTTTATGTGTATGAGTATATTGCCTGCATGTAGATAATAAGTGCACCTGTTACGTGCAATGCCCGCGGAGGACAGAAGAGGCTGTCAGATCCCCTGGAACTGAAGTTATGGACAGTTGTTAGCTACCATGTGGGTGCTCAAATTCAAACCCGGGTCTTCTGCAAGAACAACCAGTGTTCTTAATTAACCGCTGAGATCTTTTCTTCTTCTTCTTTTTTTTTTTTTGTCTTTTTGAGACAGCGTCTCCCTGTAGCCCCAGCTGTCCTGGAACTTGTTATGTAGACCAGGCTGGTCTCGAACTCACAAAGATCTGCCTGCTTCTGCCTCCCAAGTGCTAGGATTAAAGTTGTGCGCCACCATTCCCAGCTTGAGATCTTTTCTTAAACAAAAAAGCCCCCTAAACAAAATCCTGGGTCTGTGATTAGGCAGGACTCTTTGACCTTCAGCCCTCAAACTTCCCACAGCAGTTGCCTAGGTTCTAGGCTGTCAAGGTAGTTGCTGGTCCTGCCACCACAGCAATCCATGATGGCATAGGACAGATTCCTTGCCCGTGCTCTCCCCTGCTTCTCTAGGTAGTGCTGAGCCCCAGGACTTTAGCCTTCCGTGCTCCTCTCCATGGCCTAAGTGACCACAGTTGTAGTGATTCTAGTGCCACTATCCAGTTTCCCCCTGTTCTCCTATGCCCATGATAACCCTAACTGTATATCTCTCCTGCTGGGCTGCACCCTCCCTGAACACAGGAAGGCCAGGGCTCTAGGGAGAGAGGATCTGAGGCAACCTTCTCAGGACCATACATTTTGGTTGTGTCCAGTGGGTACAGCAGTCCTAACTTGCTAAACTGCCCATCTACCTCCCTTCCAGGTGGCATCTGCTGCCCCAGAGATCCCAGAAGTTTGTGGACCTCAAGGAGATGGCTGCTGGTGTCATACGATCTGTCTGTGACTTCAGGCTGCCCCTGCCATCCCACCAGCCCTTCCTGCCCCAAGACCTGGAGCCTCCAGAAAATTCTGAAGAGGAAGAGGAGGAAGAAGAGGAGGAAGAGGAAGAGGAGGAGGAGAGAGACCCGGAGCTACAAGGCAAGGGACTCCAAGGTTATAGCCCAGATCCCCAGGCCTTGGGAGTGGCCCCCCAGGGTCCCAGCAGCCCTGAGACCCCACTGCAACTGCTGCGCTTCTCAGAACTCATCAGTGGCGACATCCAACGGTATTTTGGCCGTAAGGACACAGGGCAGGACCCAGATGCCTGTGATGTCTATGCTGACAGACGCCCAACCAACTGCTCTGCCCGGGAGCTGTACTATGCTGACCTGGTATGCCTGGCCCGTGGTGGGCTCCCAGAGGATGAGGAGGCTGCAGAGCCTGGGGTACACTCACCTGGGAGGCATGATGGGCAGGCACACAGGCTGGGCCCTGGGAGAGATAGGGTACCACCATTGGGCCCCCTGGCTGAGCTCTTTGATTATGGGCTGCGGCAGTTTTCTGGGCCTAGTGCTGGCCGCAGACTGAGGCTGGAGAGGAAGTACAGCCACATTACCCCCATGAACCAGAGAAAACTGCCTCCATCCTTCTGGAAGGAGCCAACACCCAGCCCACTAGGCCTGCTTCACTCTGGCACACCAGATTTTAGTGACTTGCTGGCCAGCTGGTCAACTGAAGTGGGCCCTGAGCTGCAGGGTGGGGGTACCCAGGCCCCCGAGGGGACACAACTAGCTGAAGCCTAGTGAGTAGATGGGTCAGGAGTGTGCTGGGGCAGCAGAGTGGCCCTTCCTAGGGTGCCCAGTCTCTCCTTTTTGTAGCTCAGGCCCCTTCCTTTGTGGGTCTAGTCAGGCAGTCATGATGCTGGCTCTTCCCTCAGGAGAGCAGAGGCCTTTCCAGGTCTAGTAGGAGACTCTGGTCTTGTCCTGAGTCCAGAGCTACTGCCACCAGCAGACGGGGGTAGAGCAGTGAGGCATCCAGACCCAACCACACCTGAGTACCCACACTCAGAGGACCCCACTGTATACAGGGGCCCTCAGAGCTCTGCCCACAGGAAGTAGATGAGACTTGGGCAAGAGCCATGGGTCACTTGCATACTCATTCACTCTGGAGAGGCCCATTCTACTAGGCTAGCCATAAGATTCAAGTCAGTGGTAAGGGACAGCTGGGATAGTGCCTATGCCAGGCCAGCTCTCTCGACTGCCTCTCTCTGTGTTGAACCCATCTCAGCTGGACTAGGGGGCAGGACCAGGGACTATAAGTTGAGTCTAGGTTTTCTGAAGATGCTGGAAGAGGAGAATTGTCTGATCATACAAAGAAACATGGCTGTTTACACACCAGATTCATGCCCAGAAGTGACTTCCTTGCTGGTACTAAAGTGTTAGTGAGCAGCTGGGCAGGGATGAGGATGACTGGAGATGGGTCAGGCCTTAGGCTATAGCTTCTGTGTGTCCCTGGCAGGTGTGGCCTGGTGCCTCTGTGCAGAGCTCCAAGGAAAGTGATAGCATGGTGCCAGGGTGGGCAGGGCAGGAAAGGTCCTTCAGGGTCAATAAACTTCTGGTTTTGTTCCCTCCCACTACTTGACATTCCCTGTCAGTCCCATGAACTGCTCAGAGATCATTCCATTAGGTAATAGGCGACTCCGACTCCAACAAGTACAGGACTTGCACATTTATTTCTGGGGCAGGGTCGGAGACTTGAATTGGGGTTTAAGCTTCCAATGGGACATCTCCAAGACTGCTCCTGGTCTCCGCTGGGCCACTAGGTTCATAAGGACTGCCTTCCACTGAAGCCACCTGTGCAGAGACATAGTTCATGCCCAACACATCTCTTTATGGCCAGCCTGCTACCCTGAAGAGACCCAGGCTCCCAGCTACCCACCTCACAGCCTGATACATGCCCCAGCAGTTTATAGGGATCAGCTCGCCCAGGGCCATGTCCTTAATGAAGAACTGCTGCCTCACCAGGGACATGAAAACCCTCTTGCTGCCCAGTGTCAGCAGCCAGGGGCCTTCCTCACTCCACAGGTGCAGCATGCTCTCACGCAGGGTTGCAATCTCCTTTGTGCGCTGTGTATGCGGATGTGGCATTAATAGGACCTATGGAGGATCTATGAGGGACAAGGCTGCAGGAAGTAAGAGCTGGACCATAGCTAATGGGGGAGGCTTATCTCCTATGAGGAAGCCCAGCAGGAGGCTTTCATCTCCAGGAAACACTGCTCAGCATCAGCCGACCAGTGGCCTGCCTGGGGGCCCTGGAGACAGGAGCAGAGGAATTTGGGGTGGGCAGAGGGCAATGGGTCAGTGGCTCTCCCAGGATTTCCACTTACCAGCTTGGTCTCAGTATTAAACTTCAGGTTCTGGATGGTCTTATTGGTCTGGAGACTGTTCTCCAACTTTATCATTTGCTTCTGAAACTAAACACAGCTCCAATCATGGACAGACATGGATGGCTGTTGTTCCAATGACCCTAAAGGCACCACCCCAGAATCATTGAGTGCCTAGAGCTTGGGCAAGTGGCCAGGCACAGGTAGTGTCCCAGGGCTTGAAGAATACCGTGACCAGCTAGCCTTGGATCTCAGCAATCTTCCATCCAGGGTTTTCCTCCTTCAGCAGGTGCACAGACAGCATCAGGATAGGCAGCTCCTGCCACACTGACTCAACCTCAGATTCCCTGTGGGCACCAAGGTTGGCTCTAGAGGGTCACGGAGCCCAAAGGAGGAGGCTCAGGCTAGAGCTTAGGACTGTCACTTCTGAGGGTTAAGCTTGAGGGTACATGCAGGCTACACCAAAGGGGAGGTGAGCACAGAGAGGGGCTAGCTGAGAACAAGGCAGTCACAGGTATGGGGGGCAGGGCTTGGAAGAGTACCATGGGGACCAAAGGAGATCAGGAAGAGTCAACAGAGTTCCTGTTCCTTCCAGAGGCTAAGAAGCTGAAAGCCCTCACCTGGCCTTGCCCTTGGCGGAGATCTTCAGGTCCATATCACTCTTTTGGAGAACACATTTATTTATCTGAGACACTTTCTATCTGTGGGGTAGGTAGGAGCCAAGGTGACTCAGCACAGTTAGCTTGGAGCCCCAGGCCAACTCAGGCCCAGCCTAGGTCTGGATCCTTGTGGCTGTCTGCACCTTGGTTTTACCTACCTGCCGGGGAGGCTGTTCATTTTCTCTTGCACCTCCTGCAGGTGAGCTACAACCTCCTTCAGCCACTGGGCCAGGTCCTTCAGGGACTCCCTCTCCATACCTTTCCATTCAGCCTGTGCCTAGAATTTCAACACCAGGTGAGGGATGGTAGACAGATGGGTAAATAGTGCTGATTGGAGTCAGATTACAGGAAGGCCCCAGAGTTAAGGTGAGGAATACCCCCATATTCACCTCCTCTGACTCTATGCACATTTTTGTGTAGGCCTGTACTTGGCTCAGGGCAGCCTGGTTAGGCATCCATCACAGGGACAGACATACCAACAAAGCTAAGGCAGCCCTGGAGGTTTTCCCAGGCAAGACTACCTGGCTGAACAGAGCCATACCCCCAAGGAGGTGGCCACCTCTACTGTCCACTGATAACTGGTAGTGATAGAGACAGAGAACAAACTGGCCACACTGCAGGATGGGCACAGATGTTGGGTCAGAGGAACTGTTGGGAACTGTTCTGGTCACACACGAACAGAGAGGCTGCAGGGTTGAAGTTGGAGGATCTAGTCACTAGACTAGAGGGTGGTCACACAAAGGTGCACTGTTCACAGCAACTACAAAAGAGAAACAGCCCCTTGTGTCCATCCACAGAGGAGTGAGCAAGCAAAATACGGACTGCCTACATGAGGGGCCATTACCCAGCTGTAAGGGGAGGAGGCATGGTTCACCTTCCTGGGTCATTCTAAATGACCCAGGAAGGCAGCTCAGAAGAGAACCCTGAGACAAAAGGCCATATGCTGATACAAAGCATATCAACAATACACAAATTAGACCCAGATGGAGGAGAGGTAAGACTTCAAAAGATTCTGGGGTTTCCAATTGGGGGTGACAAGCAAATTCTAAAATTGACTTGGGTGATGGTTTCTCCATGAATGTAATAAAGCCACTGAACTGATCACAGATGATCCCTCTACTCAGAAAGCTGAGACAGGATTCTGAGTATAGGGTCAACCAAGGCTACACAGAAAGATCCTCTAAAAACAAAACAAAATGGGACTGGAGAGATGGCTCAATGATTAAGAGCACTGGCTGCTCCTTCAGAGGACCTGGGTTCAATTCCCAGCACCCACATGGCAGCTAACAACTGTCCATAACTCCATTCTAGGAGGTCCGACACCCTCTTCTGATCTCTGTGGGTACTGCATGACATGGGTACACTTATACACATTAATGCAATACACTCATACACATAAAATAAAAAATAGGGGGCTGGAGAAATGACTTGGTTAAGAACACTGGTTGTTCTTGCAGAAGACCCGGGTTTGAATCCCAGCTCCCACATGGCGACTAACAACTGTCCGTAACTACAGTCCCAGGGGATCCGACAGACTCTTCTGACCTCTGCGGGCATTGCACGACACGGGTGCACTTACCTACATGCAGGCAATACACACATACACATAAAATAAAAAGAATAAATAAAAATTTAAAAATAAAAAAAAATATTAAAAGCAAAAACAAAACAAAACAACCTCCCGACATACACAAAACAAAAACAAATAAGGAGCTAAAGTGGCTCAGTGGTTAAGAGCACTGGAGTTTGGTTCCCAGCACCCATATCAAGTGGTCACAACCACCTGTAATTCCAGCTCCAGGGGATCTGACGCCCTCTTCTGGCTTCTGCAGGCACTGGCACACCCATACACATAAAAAGTAAAATAAAAATCCTGAGTTGGAGAGATGGCTCAGTGATTAGGAGCACTTGCTGTTCTTTCAAAGGACCTAAATTCAATTCCCAGCATCCATATCTGGTAGCTCACAATCACCTGTAACTCCAGCTCTAGAGGATCTGATGCCCTCTTCTGGTGTCTGTGAGCACTGCCCACCCCCCATACACACATACAAATAAATAATAAAATAAATCTTTGGGGATGGAGAGATGGCTCAGCAGTTAAGAACACTGTCTGCTTTTGCAGAGGACCTGGGTCTGGTTCCCAGCACCAACATGGCAGCTAACAATCATCTGTAACTCCAGTTCCAGGAGTTCGAACACTCTCTTCCAACACAGTCTCTGCACTTACATACATGCAAGCAATATATTCATACACATAAGAAAATAATAAGCCGGGCGTGGTGGTACACACCTTTAATCCCAGCACTGGGGAGGCAGAGGCAGGCAGATCCCTGTGAGTTCAAGGCCAGCCTGTTCTACATAGTGAGTGCCAGGACAGCTAGAGCTACAAGGAGACCCTGTTTCAAAAAGACCAAAAAAAAAAAAAAAAAAAGAAAAGAAAAATATTTTAAAAATAAAATAACTCTTTAAAAAAATAACAACGGGGTAGAGAGATGACTTGGTGGTTAGAAGCACTGGCTGCTTTGCAGAGGACCCAGGTTCAGTTCCCAGCACCCACATGGCAGTTTACAACCATCTGTAACTCCAATTCCAGGTGATCTGATACCCTCTTCTGTCTTCTTGTGGGCATTGCACACATGTGGTCCACTTACAGAATGGCAGGTATGGCAGGTAAAACACAACACAAAATAAAAATAAATAAAAATACTTAAAAACCCAAACACATAAAACATAAAAAAATGAACAAAACCTACTGAATTGTATATGTTAAAAGATGAAGAAAAAAGGACCAGGGGCTGAGGGTACTACAGAAGCCACTCTGCCTGGCTCAGAGGGCCAGGCCTCTGCCCTTGGCCCTGTTCTTCTCTAGTGTCGTTCCTTCTGAGACTGTCCAGCTCACCTGGGACAGATTCAGACCTAGTGTCTGGTCCTGCAAGTCCAGCCTCCAGCTCAGAGCTAGACAGTGGTCACTCAGGTCCTTCAGCTGCTGGTCAAGCCCTGCCACTGACCCCTCTAGAACCTGGCTCTTCTCTTGGAGCTGCAAGGGACAACATGAGTCAGGGAGATCTCAGTTGGCGACCCACGTCTGTGTGCATGGGAATATCTCATGATACCTAACCTACCTGACCCCTTACCATTGCCAATACACCCTGTGTCTCCTGCTGGGCCAGCTTGCCAGCTAGCTGCACAGCCTCCAGATTCTCATGGATGTAGGAGGCCAGCTCCCCAGCCTGGGTCTCCTCCAAGCTGACCTTGGCATGTTGGGGCCAAAACTATCCCTAAGCACTAGCCAGAGAAGGGGTCTGGTTGCCAGCTCTAGAACTTTCTAGGAGATCTCATGGACCAGAGGACAGATGCTAGCAAAAAGGGGCTGTGTTTCTCACTGAGGGATAGGGTCAGGGAGGGATGAAAGTTCCCGCAGAGGTTACTCCGTCATGACATATCTAATTGGTCTAGTGCTTGGGGCTGGTGAGACAGAGGCAGGGCATTCCCCAGCTGAGGGACTGGGTAGCCCATTGGCATGACAGGACACCCACCGAGCCTTCTGCTCAGCTAGTAGGACACGGTTCATTGACACCCGGTTCTGCCGCACAAACTTGGTCAGATGAACCACAGCCTTGTCCAGACCCCGGCACTCCTCCAGCAGGTGGCCTTCCTCTTCCTGCTGTGGCACAGGCAGCCCTGAGTCCTGGTGTCCACTCCATCTCCCATCCCACCTGGCTACCCAGGCCCACCTCACGCTGATCCCATAGGGCCAGCAAACGCTCCTCTGTCAGCTCCTGCAGCTTCTGCCAGCGGCCTTCCAGCTCCTCTCGAAGGCTGCTTTCTGCCCTCAGCCATGTGCTTTCTGAGGTCTTCATTCTCTGTGGGGACACTCCTGGCTACTATGAGTCTGTTCCCTGCCTGGGCAAGCCATGAGGGTACTGAGCCCCAACCAAGGCCCTCACCTGCTCTAAAGCCAGGAAGCTCTTCTGTAGAAAACTGCACAGCTTGTATTCCCTCTTTAAGAAGCGAAGGCTCATCTCCTCACCGAGTTTGGTTAACTGTGCCTGTGAGGGGCCACATGGTCATTTATAGCCTGCCTGCTAGGCAGCCTACCTCGCTTAGTGTATTTTCTTAGCCCCGGTTACATTCCCCCTAATGTGCCCAATCCCTGCATAGCCAGCACACTTTGAGCAGGAAAGAAGGCAGGGTGAACAGGGCTCACTGTCCCCTTAAAAGACCAGCTCACAGGCCAAGAAGGATCCTGAAGGTCAAGGTCATGGGCACATCTAGACCACTCAGTGCCCATCCAGACTCCCAGATGTATCCAGAGAAGGGTGATGCAATGGCCACTGGATTCTATGCTGAGCTGGAGCCTCAGTAAGTGAAGTAGGTGTGAGGATACCCTCAGTACAACCCCACATGTGGGAACACCCCATTTTTTTTTTTTAGATTTTGTTTTTTGTCTTTTTTTTTTTTTTTGGTCTTTTTGAGACGGGGTCTCCCTGTAGCCCCAGCTGACCTGGAACTCACTATATAGACCAGGCTGGCCTTGAACTTACAGAGATCCACTTGCCTCTGCAGGTGTGCACCACCATGCCCAGCCATTTTTAAAATATTTTACTTATTGGGACTGGAGAGATGGCTCAGCAATTAAGAGTACTGGCTGCTCTTGCAGAGGACCCGAGTTCAATTTCCAGCACCCACATGGCAGCTAACAACCATCTGTAGCTCTAGTTCTGGGGAATCCGACACCCTTTTCAACCTCCTTGGGCACTGCACGACATGGGTACACCTACCTACATGCAGGCAATACACTCATACACATAAAATAAAAATAAGTAAGATATTTTATTTAATTTTTTAGTCAAAGAATTACTGGCAGCTGATTACTGCTGGGTGAGGAAGAACTGATCTTCTTAAAGGGAGGGATTCTAGATAGGCTGACTAGACCTCAATGAATGAACTTGTTCTGAGGGACGTCTGGGGACAGTAACTTCACACGTTAGGCCTTAACACAAATGACAGAATGTGTGAAATCCAGTGGAGTAGGGGGGCTGTGGAAGGGTGCCAATGGGGAAGGGGGTATAAAGATGGGATATAAAGATGATTCAGATCTTCAGTATGAAACACACAAAAATTCAATTAAAAATTTACAAAAAAATATTGATGGCTGGGGTTCCTTTTCGGTGGTACACCTGCCAGTGAGTTACCTATACGCCTGTAAATTATCCCAATAAACTCATTTGTCTACCAACCTGGACTTGACGGAATCTTTCTTTGGCCTTCCCTATTTGGGGTGAATAAATGTTTCTTTTATATCTTCCTAGGAATGTCAGGATTTGACAAAGTTAAATTGAGTAGCACGTGCCTATAATTATAGCACTCAGAAGGCAGAGGTGCAAGGGTTGCTGTGAGTTTGAAGTCATCCTGTGTTATAAAGTGAGACTGTCTTCCCTCACCCTGCCAAAGAAAAGTCATAAAAACACCCTCTACCCAACAGCATCCATTTGCCTATCACATTCTACTTGGCCACAGGGCTCTCCTGCCATCAGCCCTAGCGCTCAGGCCCTGATCAGGCCAGTCTGGGCACAGATGGCTCCTGGGGAAGAGCCACTGCAGGCCACTGCAGAAGGGGATCCAATGAGGGTCAGCCACTTTTTTTTTTTTTTAAACAGGGTCATGTATAGCTTAGCTTGACTCAAATACTTGACTCAAAGGCTGACCTCAAATTCTTTATGTAGTAGAGAATGATCTTGAACTTCAAATCCCTGTCTCTAGCTCCTAAGAGTTAGGATTATATGTACTACCATGCTCAGTTTTATGGGAGCTGGGAATCAAACCTAGGACTTCATGAATGCTAGGCAAGCACTCTATCAAATGAGCCACATCCCCGGCCCTCAGTCACTTTTTCTGTAGAGCCAGACAGCAAATAATTTAAGCTCACAGGGTCTCTCTGGAAACCTCTCAACTCTAGTCCCAAAATAGCTATTGTCAATATATTAAACAAATGTTCATGGCTCTGTTCCAATAAAACTTTATTTATAAAACTAGGCAGTGAAGCTGGGCATGGTGGAGCACGCCTTTAATCCTAGCACTCAGGAGACAGAGGCAGGTGGATCTCTGTGAGTTCAAGGCCAGCCTGGTCTCCACAGTGAATCCAGGCCAGCTGGGGCTACAGGGAGACCCTGTCTCAAAAAAACGGGGGGGGGGCAGTGAAGTTCAGTAATGTTTGACACCAGCCCCGGATAGCCCTCAAAGGGGCTGCACTCAGGTAAAACGCAGGCATCCCCAGGAGGAAAAGTGTCTTCTATGCCCAGCCTGGCAGAAATCCTTAGCTCAAAGACACCGTCCTCTCAATGCAGCTAATGTGTTAACTTCCCAATGGCCATGAAGGGGATACCACCAACTCTAAACAGTGGAGTTATGTGGGAGCAGCTGGAAGTACCCAGTCTATCCTGCCTGCCCTACTCTTCCAGGAGCCTGGACACAGTATGGCCACTGTAGTCCCTGGTCTCTGACTGCAGAGCTGTGGAGTTAGGTGGCAGACATGACACCCATTCCCAAGTGCCATGCTGCAGTAAAGGCCCCTCCTAAGGGAGGGACACCCTGATAATTTGTGACTCCTACATAAAGGGAACTTCTGAGGGAAAGTGGCTGAAGAAGGGGCTTTAGGACCAGATGTTCCTTTTCTTCACTGGTGCTAGATGAAACAAGAGAGGCAGAAAGAGGCACCTGCACCTGGCACCCACCCCTGTGCCTTCTGTTCCCCAAACCTGCAACAATAAGGCATTTGAAACATGATTGTGCAACAGCAGGGAGTTTTCAATTAAGATTGCAGTTAATGTCAGTGAATGTCAGAGTCAGAGTCATCTGGGATGAGGGATGACAGGCCATCACATCAGACCAGTGGGAATGGTGAGCCTGCCCTTATACCATCATGTGGACAAAACCAAACAGCCAAAGGGAAGAGACAACTATTGATGGCAAGACCATAGGCTGGGGCCAGAAGTCTCCTACCCAGGCCCTATTGTGGCCCCTGCTTAGGCTAGGCCCCACTTCCCAAGGGGCACCTGCATCTTGGTCACCTCGTGGTCCACCTTCTGGCTGGTGTCTTCTTGGCTCCTCTGCAGGGTGTTACAGGCTGCCTCCCAGCCCTGCTCCTGTTGCCTCAGCAAGCCAGTCAACTTGGCCAGCCTATACGTGGTAGGTGCAGTCATACCAATTTATCTAGGGAGCCACAGGGAGGCTGGTAGGACATAGGACACTGGATCCTTCTCAGGTAAGGGTACATAACCCATTCAAGTAACCCGTCGAAAAGGAAACAGACCTTGGAGTCCCCAGTGAGGGCAAGGCACTCAGGAGTGAGAACAGACAAGTGGAGTCCTCATAAGATTCTACAGAGGGTCAGGCCCCCCACAGCAGCGAGCAGCTCAGCACCAAGGGCAGAGGATGGCCCACTGGTGGCAATAGGGGCACAAGGCAGGTGGGACTCCAGCCTCTGTCAGGTGTGAGACCAAGTGAGCCTACAAATCAGGTTTGGAGCCAGCCCAGAGAGGTAGCCCACCTGAGGTTCATTTCCTGTTCGCAACTTTTCCGCTCTGAGTCTTGTAGGGCTTGTGTCCTCCTGATCTGTGTCAAGGCCTCTCGGACCTCCACCAGCCTGGCATAAGGAGTTGCCTTGCCAGGCCCAGGGCAGCTGGGCAGCATTTGTTGCTGCAGGTCTGGTCATGGGACTCTATAACCAGCCTCCCATTACCTGTACAGTCTGCTGTGAGCAGACCCCAATCTGAGTTTGACCATTATGGGTATTGTTTACCTGAGCAAGAAGGTTAATTGGGGAAAAAGACACCCATAGCTGCCCAGAAGCTTTGGCTTCAGTCCCCCCACAGAAGCCTATGCCCATGGGTGTGGGTGAGGGTACCTGTTGTCCAGGGCTTGCATCTGGTTCTGGCCTTGGGGCCCAGGGAACTACAAGGAGGAGGAAGGGAAGGATGGGCAGGTGGAGTGTGCTACTTACCAAGTCCCTCCAGCAGGGATCCAAGTGGACATATAGGAGCTTATATGGCTTGGGGTTTCTGGGATCCATAGGATCAGGATCCAGGAAGCTGTCCCAAGGACCAGGAAAGGGGTGGCTGACTTGTGTTTGTTGCTCTGCCCAATGCCTCACCTCTAATGCCTTCTTCTCAGGACTCCAAGCTGCCTGTTGCACTTCCTGCTGAAGCTGCTACAGCTCTGAGACCTGTAACTGCACTCAGGCACGCATCTGCAGCACAGCTCATGTAACAGGCCCAGTGTGCCATGCTCACAGCACTCCTTGTGTCCCCTAAGGTGAACCACCTCAGCTTACAGTTCAGCTACCCTGGTCAGGGTCAGAATGGGCCAAGTCAAGCTAAGCTATGCCTTCCCTCCTGGAGGTTACCCCAATGTCCCCACCCCAATTTTGGGATGCTTACCACTGCTCCAGCTGTTTCCAGTGCTTAGGGGTGTCATGCTCAGGGACTGAGGACATGGATGCCAGGCCACGGTCCTCATACCTCTCTGAGGTCTCCAGACTCAAGGGCTCAGGATTAGGTAGGTCGTCTGTTAGGAGAATCTCCAGGTCCTCGAGTGTCATAGTGCTTGACTGTGAAGGCAAAAGTCCTAGTGAGGGGCTGTCTGCCAGATCTGGAAGGAGGCACCTTGGGAGCTCATGCTCAGGAAAACTTGCTCCCATAACTCTTGCTCAACATCACCCAGAGCTCAGTGACTCTTGATGAGCCATACAGTCTGGTCCAGCGAGAGGTTAGGTAAGAGGTGTCTAGGCCCTGAGGACACAGTGCTGGGCAGCAGGGCATTGCTTCCACTAGCAGACCCTGTGAGATCCAGAAGCAGGGTTATTCTGCATGTCACCAGAGCTTACCTGACATGGCTTCACCAGCAGTGCCACTTACAGCTCTGGATCTGGGATCATGCCCTTGTGGGCTGCCCAGACTTGGACATCAGGCCAGGGTGGCTGAGTGGCTGGCTGAGAGAGGCCAAGAATCCAGACCACAAGGTGCTGCAGTGCTTGGGAATCAGTTTAGGGATAGAAGTGAAGGCTTTGGGCCACAGAGAGAAGGTGAGGATTGGGAGGGGAGGCTATGGACTTCAGGGAGAAGACTAGGGTTGGGAGGGAAAGTGGTGGGCCTCAGGGAGCAGTTGAGTATAAGGCAGTGGGCTTTTGCACTTACACTTTTGCCACCTCAATGAATCCCAAGGCAGGTAGTTACATCCAGGTTATTCTGGAACCTTCCTTTTCTTACCAGAACCTTGTGACTTCATGGCCAACTGTCAGTGGAACTTGAGCCCTCATCGGTCTTGTCTTGTGGCCCCCTAACTGCTGTTGGCTTCTACAAGCTTTCAGGGGACAGTGAAGTATCACTCTTGCAAAAAAGGCCTTCTGGCTGTGGGGCTGCTAGCCTGTGGCAATAGTGGTTAGGGAGGATGCCCAGGAGCCATCATTGGCCCTTGAGTTGCACACCAGGAGCAGGAGGTTAAGGGCACCTGGGAGCAGACACCTAGAGGGTAGGATGGCAGAAGAGGGTGCCAGTCATGGATGGGGCTACTGGGACTTCAGCTTTCCCAAGAGCTGCAATGAAAATGTCAGCATAAACAAGTGAATTTTGATTGTTTTATTTAATATATCCAAAATATTATTTCAACATGTAGTCAACACAGAATTGTGGACAGATTGCACATGCTTTTTGGTACCAAGTCTTTGAGACCCTATGCAGTGTTTTTCATCCCCTTGGATCTAACAGATACAGCCCTCCCCCACCCTGGTCACTCAGATCTTGCCACCAGGGCCCAGTGGACCAAGCAAAGTAGGTTACAATTTCTCATCAGAGCCTGGCATGCTCAGGCCTGGGTATGGTATGTCACCCAAGCAAACGACAGAAACCACACTGCATGAGCCCCTGAGAATAAGGATGTGAGGATGGGATCAGGAGGCCAGGGTCCCAGGTGAGGTGTGCTACTTCCCTAGTCCTGATCCAGTCTGTGGCTTCCCTTCCTGCAGGGTCCATAGGTTGCTGCAGTACTGAGTTGCAGCCATTGTATCACAGACAGCAGATACTGTTCACAAAGTTATTCACATGTATATCACCACAATGTTGAGTACATGACTCCCCAGAACTGTGAGCCCTAGGCAGGGAACAGGAATTTCTCATTTATATCGATTCAACATGCTCAGCCTATCTCCCCATGGAAGGCAGAGAAAGCCACTCTTTTAGGAGGAGGCTGTTATCTGTCCAGCTTTGCACAGAAGGATCTGTGTGGCTTTCTAACATGTGTGCCAGAGACACTGCAACTATCTTTACAAAGTGACCTAGGGGCAAGGACTGAGGTTGACTGGGAGATATTAAGTCTAGCTTTGACTGAGTAGAGCCAGCTCTGACAACATAGGGTAAAAGTCGATCTCCTTGGCTCTGGTGCTCACAGGCCCATCCCAGTGCTACCCTGGGCTGGCCAAGTCCTCAGAGACTACTGCCCAGGGACACTCATACTATAGTCAGAAGCAAAGCCAACTACTGACATCAGGGTCCTCGGTGCTGTGGGAAGACTGCCTTCCTGCTGTACTCCAAAGTGCAGTGACTCCTAGCTCTGAAAGCCTGGGGCATATTTAGCTGAACTCTGGGATCCAGTCTTCATGTGATTCTCAGCTCTTGAGATCCAGGTATAGAACCAGTCTCCTCAACCTCTAGGCAAAGGCCTAGGGATGGGGCACACTTGGGTTCCCCAATAGAGTGTACTCGATTTCTGTTCTTCATGCTCTTGCTGCCGAGGCTCTTGGTGGTGTGGGCAGTGTGGCCAGAGGACAGGTGCTCAGAGACAGAATAGAAACAGTGACGAGTACAGCGCTTGACCCCCCCCCCACAAAAAAACAAACAAACAAACAAACAAAAACTAGCCTCTCCTGGCTCTGGGAAGTAAGCCTCAGGGGACATGGTTGCCCACATTTGAAACCGTGGAGAAGGAACCCAGGAAGGGGGTTAGTCCAAGGATTGGAGGGGCCAGAGCACAGGATGTAAACCAACTGCTCACATCAGGGTCAGGCCCCCATACCAGCTAGGCCCAGGATGGAGGGCATTTGCTCCTGTTGCTGTGCTGCCCAGGTAGTAAGGCTTTGACTGAGACCAGGAACCCCAGGAGGAAGTGCAGAGGGGTTGGGGTGCCACTGCCCAAGGGAGGAGCTAGCCTTCACGTCTGGGCCAGGGAAAGTTCTTCAAGGCCTCCCTTCCCCAGGCGGTATCTGGCCAGATCCTTCCTGGTCACCAGCCCGACCACCTGCAGGAATAACACCAGGTTAGAGTCCCCACAGGTCTGCAGAACCCTTGCCCCATATGTGACTGGGGATGAGAAGGGGCCTGGGAGCTTTGGCATGGGCCCTGAGGTGGGAATGTGGCCAGAGGAAGCGTAGCCTACATGCCAGTGCCAACTTGGTGTGCAGGACCAGGCTGGGTCCTATGCCTGTATCTCCCGAGGCAGTGATGACCAATGCCCACCTACAACCCAGCAGGGAATACGGGAAGCAAAGTTCAAGCCAGCTCTACCATCCCCTAACAAGACAGACAACGCCTTACCTGATTTTGGTTGTCTACCACCACCAGATGCCTCAGGCCCAGAGCCCGAAACAATTTGAACACACGAGGGAGAGACGCCTCCTGCAAGGTGGTCATAGCCTTCAGTCTATTTCACCCCACTGTGAGAAGAGACCCAATCCCCAAAACCAAGCATTTTCAGGATCCTGAGCTGTCCCTTCCCCTCCATACCTGACTCCAAGCCCCTATGTTCTACAGGTAGGGTCCCTGAGGTCCACTGCCACTTGAAGCCCAACTTCTCTCACATTCTCCCTGACATTCTGGTCAGATGGCCTTCTCAAGGCAGCAAAGCCCCTTGCAACCCTGCTTCTCCTCCTGGTAGCAGTTACTCTACAAGATTCCACCTTTCCAAAGGGTAGGAGGCATAAAACGTGGGTCCTGGAGGTCAACCACATTCTAACCCTACCCTTCAGTCTCCTTTGAGCCATAAGTACCTGGGGCACTGTGTAGGGGGAGGGGTTCATGAACTCAGAAAGGTCCATGGTGCATTCCCGTTCATCTTGAGACACATGGATGGACTGAATCGGAGGGAAGCGGGGATAGGCATCACGGAAGTCCTTCAGTCTCAGTCGCCGATGCACCAGGCCCATGTTGGACCTCTCCACAAATACCTGCAGGCAGTGGCTGGTTAGGCATCTGCCCCTGTGAACAACAATGCCCAGGATACCCCTACCCTTAGGCTGCTGGTGGGTGTACCTTGTGTTTCAAGAGCACGATGAGCTGGGAGCGCAGGATCAAACCCTGGAGCCTGGCTGCCTGCAGGAGAGACAGGAGTCAGAGGCTCCAGGACTGCATGGGGGACTCTGGCTGACTCTCCTATTGCTACACCCCCCACTGGATGTTAACTGTTTAACAGTCACCTCTGATCACAGTGGGCATCTCACTTATTAATCCTTAAAGAACCTGAGACAGGGCAGCTAACCCTGATAGCACAGAGCATGGGAGCCAGGTACTGAGAGGGAATGGCATCAGTAGGTGGCAAGATGCAGCTTGTGTGCTCCTCAAATTCTCTCAAGCTACCAGCACCAATGCCCAACATGTCCCAGAAGGACAGGACCTGGGCAAGTGAGGACAACACTAGCTGGGCTCACATTCTGTCAGCACTTCCTGATAAGTCACAGCCACCAGCACTACAACTGACCAGTCCAGTCTTGTCAGGACCCCATGAAGGCTGTAGTGAGGACAGCCAAGCTACATGTGGATTTTACTGTACATCCAACATGCGGTTTCCTTTTCAGTTGAACTACACAATGTGCCCCTCACCCCCTGCAATCCCATACTTACAGACACTAAATAGAAAGGGACTGGTATGTGGAGAGGCACCCACAGTACCTGGGTGTCGCCTGCATCCTCCACCACAGGAAACCCATTATGATTGGATGCTGTGTCACTGAGAACATCCACAATGATGCCAACCTTCTCTCTCCTCCTCAGACAGGTCACAGGTGTACTCATTACCTCCCTGTCAAGAGGCCCAACCAAAAGACACTGTCAGAGTGCCAGGTATACTATGTGCTGGCAAGATACTTCCTCAAGAGCTTTTATACCATGCGGCAGCTAGGAAACGGGGAATCCAAAGACCTCGTTTTCCATACCATAGATTCAACCAGGAACTGGGAGACTATGTACAGAGTGGCCACAAGGGGAGCCCTAGTGCCTGGGTAGCTCCCCACAGACATGCAGTATCTTCCTTATCCACTCCTCACCCTCAGCACACAGAAACCGACAGCTCAGCAGATCAGCTAGCCATACCTGGCAGTGAGCGAGTGTGAGGTTACAGGGGCCTCCCAGTGAAGGAAGGGCACACTTTGCAGCTGGATGTGCATGTCATACAGGCCCTAAGGGGAGAACCATGATGCAGGACACTGTCCAGAGGTCCTTATGACAAACTGCCTCCCCCAGGACCCCACCACTGCCCTATTACCAATGGAGAACCCAGGGTATATTGTGTCTCTCCTGAAGGAGGGCATATGGAGGTGGCTCTATGTTCTTTTTTCTTTCTGCAGCTGCTGTAGGCCTACCAGATCCCAGTGCCCAGTTCCAAGGTCAGCATTCAGGGTGAGCAGGGGACAAATCAACCCCTCATGCTGCATACCTCAATGAAGACATCACCCACAATCTTGGCAGTCATCAGCACCAACATGATGGGGAAGCCGTAAGTCACATTGCTGGTGGCCTCCATCATGATAACTGTCAGGCTTAGGGTCATCCTTACAATTCCACCTGTGGGGGTAGGTGGTCATAAGCCCCTACCTCTCCTAACATAAGGTCCCTGGCTCTGCTATGTGTCTTTAGTCTTATTTATTTACTTATTTACTTAATTTATTATGTATGTATGTATGTATGTATGTATGTATGTATGTCTTTTTTGAGACAGGGTCTCCCTGTAGCCCCAGCTGGTCTGGAACTCACTATGCAGACCAGGCTAGCTTTGAACTCACAGAGATCCGCCTGCTTCTGCCTCCCAAGTGCTGGAATTAAAGGCATGTGCCACCACGCCTGGCTATTTATTATTATTTTATGTGTATGCATGTATTGCTTGCATGTATGTAGGTCCACCCATGTCATGCAATGCCTGAGGAGGATAAGAGAGGCATCGGATCCCTTGAAACTGGAGTTATGGACAGCTGTTAGCTGCCATGTGGGTTCTGGGATTCGAATCCAGGTCTTCTGCAAGAACAGCCAGTGTTCGTAACTACTGAGCCATCTCTCCAGCCCCATGTCTTTAGTCTTTTCACCCACCTATCCTTACAGACCCCAGATGCCAGGTCCTGCTGGGTCCTCCTGACTGTTGTCACCTGGCCATGCCATGGGGGATGATGGTCACACCTACTTTATTTCCTATTCTGTTCATATGAATGGCGACTGGCCTCAGTGATGCTCACAATGGGTGGGCCTGGTAAGGACAGTACCCAGACCTAGCAAAGCCCACACACCAAACTGAGCAAGAACTGGAACTTACCAAGCTGGGCAGCAGCTCCCATCAGGGCATATTTACCCGGGTCTGCCCAGATCTGTAGGAGGCAAAATGGGGAACTGTGTCACAGGCAGTAGTAACCCTTTCCCAGTGCCAGATCTACCAGTGAGTACGTCTAGTGATCTATATAGAGGAGTTAATTCCATGGCTCACATGTGGCTCATGCTGAATGTTCTACCTCTGTGCCTTCTGCTACAACCAGTGTGCTAACATCCTAGATAGGTGTTCTTTACATAAGATGAGATATACAAACTATGCCATCTGCTCACACCCATGAACTTGACAAGCTATGCTCTGTGCTAAGACAGTGAAAGGTGCATGAAGTGAGGACAGTGGGGTCTGAGTGCTCACAGGGTACCATTGTCCATGAAGACACACTGGATCACTCAAGGAAAGACAGTTGAGAAAAGATATTGCAGAACATGTTATAATAAATGAACCAAGCAGACGGCACACTCATTGGGAAATTCAGAGGCATCGTGCCCTAGAAAATGTTGGGAAAAGGTGAACCCAGAGCCAGGAGGCTAGCGGTTGCCAGAGCTGGGGAAGAGGAAATGGGAACAACGCTAATGGGGGCAGAGTCCCTTTCCATGTGAAGAAAGTGCTTTGGGGCCAGTGGTGATGGCTACAAATGTTGTGCATCCACTGAAGTGTATTTATTCATTTTAAAGTGACCATTATCACAAATCACATCTCAGTTTAGAAGACAGAGCTCAACTAAAGGAGTGTCTAGAAGGGAGCCTGACCCTGAAGCCTGACAGGGTAAGGGTAGGTGGCAGGTTTCCTGTTGTTTTTAATCCCCTCTATAATTTGTCAAATCTTATTCAAATGATTGAAGTGAGGGTGGAAGAAAAAAAGATAGACTAAAACTTAAACTTCACCAGTAGTTGATGCTAGGGAAGCCAGTTCAGATTAGCCCTGGATAGACCTGGGCTCTTCTGTTCTTTGTTACGTTTTCACTCATCTCTCCAAAATATCTTCACAGAGCATGTAGTGTGGTTATTCAACAACTTCCAATTCTTTTGCCTACACGCACTAGGTACCCTGCTGTTGCCCATGGTGGCCCCCATTCCTAGGGTGAACAGGAACACTTGAGCAGTGGGGCTCTATCTTGCTTCCCCCAACTCACCGCTGCTCCTGTAAGGTACGACAGGGAGATGCCAAAGAGCCGGCCCCAGGCTGCTCCAATGAGCAAGGATGGGATGAAGACACCAGCAGACACTGTGAGCCCATAAGTCCAGCAGGCCAGGAAGAAGTAGACCATGGTGAATAGGCCCAGTGTCATGGGGTTATAGGAACCTAAGAGAGAGGAGGGCTACTGGGTTGTAGTTGTGACTCATGCTTGTACAAGGCTTTCCTGCCTGCCACATAGTTCCATCCTTGAGACCAGGCCATCAGAGCTCTGATCACAAGTGATCCCCAGAAGGTATTGCAGCTAAAGGGTGGGCCCCCAAGAATCAGATGTAGAAACTATGCTGAGGCAGTACAGCAGGTAACTTTGAGCTGACAGCACAGGTGTCAAGTCTAGGGGCCACTTAGGCCCCATGTTAGTGCCAAACCACCAATAGCCCTGCTCCACTTGGAGGCCCTTCCCTGAAAGCAAGGTGTAATCCACACCCCTGAGGGCAGCAATAGGATTCCAGCTCAGCTGGACTCACCATCAGTATGACCTCACATTTGTCAGCTGCAATGGAACTGATTCTCTGAACCTGAGCACAGCCTGAACGTGAGTTAGCCCTGTGACAGCCAGCAGTTCAGGGAAATATTCTCCCAGAGACAAGAGGTGACCAAGATGTGACCCCAAAACCATAGGATAAGATGTCACATTTGGGGGGTTGGAGAGATGGCTCAGCAGTTAAGAACACTGTTCTTGCAGAAGACCTGGGTTTGAATCCCAGCACCCACATGGCAGCAACAACTGTCCATAACTCCAGTTCCAGGGGACACAACAGCCTCTTCTGTCCTCCTTGGGCATTGCATGACACAGGTACACTTACCTACATGTAGGCATAACACTCATACACATAAAATTTAAAAAGCAAATAAATAAAATTAAAAAAGATGTCACATTTGGAATAGAGTCACTCCTGGCCACTAACTCCAAGCCCTGGAAGGTGTGCTCTTCCCAGACAAGATGCTGAGATTTTATTTGTGGTTAAGAAACTAAGCATGGAAAAGTAGAGAAGGGAGGACCATAGTGGCCTATGTGGAGACCAGGGTTGTGGGTGGGCTATCAGTCTATGTGGCCAAGAACACCATGGCACAAACCACTGAGGTCAGGAGAAGCAGGTCAGTGAGGGAAGAGGTTCAGACATGGAAGGCCATTGGCACTGACAAATCTATTAGCTGTTAACTTTCTCTATGGATAGCCCTAAGAACAGGGAAGTCCCCAGTGACTTATAGGAAACAATTAGAAACAACTGTTCCCCCATACGTAGGAGTTCAAGACACAGGCCTAAGGTTGCTTAGCTCTTCTTTGGCTTGGTATGTGGGGATCTGCCCTGGGCACTATCAAGGGCATGGCTGAGGCCAACAAGGCCTGGTCATGGAGTCATCAGGCTGGGTTTTCCTCTGTAGAGAGAGATGAAGGTGGCCCAGGCAACCATCATCAGGAAGAAAAAAGAAGGTGGGGTGGAAGCCCACCCAGCCCCTCTCCAGGTTCTCAACTACCAAGTATTCCAGCAGAATCTAACAGTCCTTTGCATTCCTATTATCCCCCAACTCTGGGATGCTGACCCCTGTGCTCCAGCATACCTCATTATACCAGAGATGACTCTTCTAGCCCAGGGCAGTGACCTCTAGAACCTGCCCATCATCCATGTCCCAGCCATGCTGCCTTCACGCACCTGGTGGATCATGGAAAAGGCTAACCACACTCTTCTCAGGGGTATTAAAGAAGGCTGCAGCCATGGAGTTGTACTCGCCATCTGCACAGAAGAGCTGCAAGGTTGAGAGAGAGGACACAGAGCGAGATGGCCACAGGGCATGACCACAGACTCTGTTGCTGTACGTTCATGTACCCTGGGCCTGGAGAGCATCAGATAGGAGCTGGGCTCAGGAGAACATACAGCCTGGGCCCACATGCAGCCAGGGCTTCAGTGGCATGACCACATCTCTGAGAACTGACTGGACAGTCCATCTGTCCCTGCTACTCAATACAGGGACCTAGGTACTTCATGAGCATAGCCCTAGAACCAGTAATGGGACACCAGCCCTGTGAGTCAGCAGGCCCCCCTCCTCTTGGCTGAGTGCTATCTACTACATGGAGGGACACCTCATTTGTTTGTCTGTAGAGAGGCAGCTCTCACTTTGCATCTCTTATGAAAGAGCTGTCACAAGCATCCCTGTATGGTTTCAGTGTGCTTCTCCAATCTATATCCAGGAGTCCCATACTGAAACTCTCCAGGAGCTATCTGGGAAGAAGACTATGGTAAGAATAGCCCAGTACCACTGTCCATTCACTAGGTACCTGGTAGCCTCAGTTCACTATGATGACCCTGTATACAGACTGAACCTGAGGCCTGATAACACTTCTGACAGTCACTGAAGCCTGACATCCACTTTTGGGTGCTAGCATTCTGGAGGGCTGGCCCTGCTCACTGGGCCCAAGGACCTATGCCTACCTGGAGTGGGTAGGACATGGAGTTTCCCTGTAGGGGCTGGCAATCCCGAGATGAGTAAATCAGGACAAAGGCAACTGTGGCAGTGACTGCAGCCACCAGCATGGCCTCGATCACCTGGAGGCAGGGTCGGTGGATGTACCTAGAGCCCAAAGCCAGAGTGGAGTTTGCTGCAGGAATGGTGGGGGCACCTGAACCAGACTGATGGACATAATGTGCATAGGTTTAATGATTAATTGACCCAGATTCCAGGACATCCTGAATTTTTTTTTTCCCTCAGCAGTGACTGCCCCTGCTACACCCTCAGACAGTATAAAACAGTGAGACTGATGTGAGAACCAGAAAGACACTTGGCAAGCCCAGGAGCTCCCTAGACAACTCAATCACTGCTCTCCTAATAAAAGGGCTTGCACCCCAGATGGATACTGGATGGTATCTAATCTAGGGATTTGCTAACTTTCAGACCCCTTCCTCTCTCTGGAAGCTCCTCCAAACTCAGGTTTGTTTGTCCTCTTGCTGAGGTCATACATTCCAACCTGTCCTGAGTAGCTCAGCTGGGTACAGATCTTGAGGTAAGGACCCCAATGCACAAGGCCTAAACACCTTGTCCAATTCTTGAGGCCTAGTTGGTTTGCACCTGTCAATTTGGTACACAAAATGTGTTTTTTTCTCACCTGATTCGAAACATGGTTAGCCAGTAATTCAAAGCATTGAAGACAGCTCCAAGAATGCCACCTGTGACCAGAAAGTTGCTCATATTAATTTCACCAGTGGGGGTTTTGCCAAAGTAGAAGTAAAGCTCTGGGGACTTCTTGAGCTGCCCACCCCTGCATGTATCTGCATAAGAACTCCAGGAGGACAGTGCCTACAGACATGGAGTGCAGGTTTGGCTCTCAGCCACTGCAGACCTGAGCTGCTTTGGAGTTGGAGTTCATCCTTCCCAACACAAGTTTATTCTGGTCCATACTATGGGGAGGGGTCCTTACCCACCACACCCATGGCGATGAAGACAGGAATCTCATGGATGGTGTAGGCCATTTTCTGTGCAGTAGGGAGAAAGTGAAGGCTGTGAGAGATTGTGTACACAACTTGTGGTTTAAATTCCAGGACTGGATAGGAGCTTTGCCTATGTACACAGAACTTTCTAGTAGTTTTGTACAGCGCCAATGAGGTTCCATAGGTGGGAGAAAGGAGTACTTTGAGAAGACCCTAGCCTGATGGCTGGGCTGGCTGGCACTTGACCTTGGAGCCATCTCACACTATAGCCATGGGACACCTAAAACCTTGCTGGGGCAGGTCACTGTACATACTCCCAGAGCAATGCAGTGGAGCTGACAAGCAGGAGCTCAACATTCCTGCCAAGAAACTAGAATTTCCAAAACCAACTTCAAATCTTGGCCTTAAACCAAAAGGCTCCTGAGCTGTCACAGGAAAGGAAGGGGTGGGACAGTAGTGTCAGTTACCTCTGAGTCGAATCTTCCAAAATTTATGAGGCCTGGGCTGGATAGGTCCCACATGTTTCCATGGTAGATGCTCAAAACAAAATTGAGCGTGAAGGTGGAAATCATAGAAGCAAAGAACTGTGGCAGAGAGAAGCCAGATTCTCAGAGCTGCGGCATCAGGCCCACCCAGCACCCTCAGAACCCTGCCTGGGCCACTCAGCATTCTCAGAGCCCTGCCTGGCCCACCAAGCACCCTCAAAGTCCTTCCTAGCCATCTCAACAACTCAATACCCTCAGAACCTTGCTCAGCCTACCCAGCATCCTCAGAGCTATACCTGGCCTACCTAAGCTCTCAGTGTTATATGAGAACCCTCTCATCTGACTGCTAGAGCCAGGCAAGGAGACTGGGGTCTCCTGTCACTTAGGAAGCAATATATCTGAACACCCTATCTAAGACAGAAGAAAGGGGGCTAGAGTCAAGCAGGGCTGGTGCCAAGTGGGGCTAAGTTTATTTCCTGGTCAGGCAAAAATGGGATTGTAGTTCTTCGGACAAGTAAGACAGACACAAGAGAAGATAGTGGATCTGGGGTTCCCAGGAGTCACGAAGAGCTGGCAAGAACACCCAGGACATGTAGAGCTGGACCCATGGGATGACATGGCTCTATAACACAAAAGGATGGGCCTAGTATGATAAGTCCTCAGGGAAGGGAAGACTCGAGAGCCCTGGGTAGGGGGCACCATCCATAGGCACTTACAATTCTCCATGTCAGGAACTGATTCCAGAAGGAGGCACCCTCTTCTAGGCTGAACAGAACTCCACCTAGAAGGCAGGTGGCAAGGCTCAAGTGCAACTCCGGTCACAGGGCAGCCCACCCACTGCCAATGCCCAAAAGAGATTCCAAGGAAATAAGACCATGTCACAGGGAAGCTACTGCTGGTGGAATCAGGCCACAGATGGTGGCTGTGAGCCACTGTTCACACCTTGATCAAGCACTCATTTACAAAACACCAGAACTATGCCTGCAAGAAAGTCCTGCTCACCCAGCCTGGCCATCTATGAAGCACCCAAGGGGAAAGCCACAGACCAGGTGGGGAAGACTTCTCACCTACAGGGGCTCCAAATGCAGCAGACACTCCAGCTGCAGCTCCTGCAGAGACAAAGTCTCGCTTCTCTGTGTCCCTACGGAAGTACTCAAAGATCTGAAAGAGGAAGACAGAGAGAGTCATGGGCAGATCTACAGGGTCACCCCTCACAGGAAGGAAGTCCTACCAAAGGGACCAATGAAGAGATGTGAAAGGTAGGGAGTCATCTTCTAGACAATCACAGCATGACCAATCACATCATCAGTTACTGGATTCACAGAGTGTGACACTATAGACAGTAACAGGAGAGCTGGGAAGAACCCATGTGCCCACAGCCGAGAATATAACCACAGGATCCCATTTGTGATGGTGACCCAGTTTTTCCACACATGCAGCAAGAAGTCTATTAGCTTTCCTAACTCTACCCAAAGAACTAAAGAAAATTCAATGAGTGGGAAAATCTAAATTTTTTCTTGATTTATTTTTTGGCTTTCTGAGACAGGGTCTCCTTGTAGCCCCAGCTGGTGTCTAACTTGCTGACCTCGATCTCACAGAGATCTACCTGCCTCTGCCTCCTAAGTGCTAAGATTAAAGGTATGCACTACCACACCCAGCTTGTTCTTGATTTTAAACAGACTGTTTAGAGGCTGGAGAACTGGCTTAGTAGTTAAGAGCACTGGCTGTTCTTGCAGAGGATCTGGGTTTGGTTCCTAGCACCCACATGGCAGCAGCTAACATCTGTCTGTAACTCCAGTTCCAGGGGACCTGACGCCCTCTTCTGACCTCTGTGGGCACTGTTACCACATGGGCATACTTCTATACATGCAGGAAAAACACTTATACACATTAAGGTAAAATAATAAAATATTTGAAAGGATTTTTTTTAGGGCTGGAGAGATGGCTCAGCAGTTAAAAACACTTGCTGCTTTTGCAGAAGATCTGGGTTTGATTCCCAACACCCACATGGTGGCTAACAACTGTCAGTAACGTAAGTTCCAGGGAGATCTGATGCCTTCTTTTGGCCTCTGCAGGTACTAAATGACATAGGTGTACTTACATACAGACAATACACTCATACACACAAAATAAAAATAAACTTTAAAAAATTTAAAAGGACTGTTTAGCCAGGTATAATGGTATATGCCTATAATCCCAACTCTCAGAAGGCTTGAAGCAGGATTGTGAGTTTAGCCTGAGCTACACAGCTCAAAAGATAGCTATAAACATGTCAGCATGTCAGAAATTTAGTGTATACCTGAGGAATTATTAGCAACTGATGGCTGTTGGCAAGGGGCGCTTCAGTCTTGTTTAACGGTTAGACTCTTAGTAGGCTGACCAGGCTCCAGTGGATGAGTCCACACTTAAGGGCATTTGGGGACACAAACCTGACTCTACAGGCCTTAATATATTTAATATAGTAGAGTACAGGAAATTTGGTAGGGGGGGTTAGTAAGGGGGTATGTGCAGATACAGGATGGGATCTAAATATTAAAATATACTGTATGAAATTCACAAAAATTCAATTAAAAAAGAGTGAAAATTTAGTGCAATGTCCATCAAATTACTGATAACTGACTGACCATGGAGAGGCCATGTATAGTATGAGTGAAGGAACTGTGTCCACTTGGGCTGGGTATAGGCTGGGTTGTCCTTAGGGAAGAGATGGCAACAGGGACAGGTCAGGCCTGACGAGATGCTGAGGGAGGCCCACAGGTCTGGATGAGGACTCTACACAGGCAAGAACCTAGCTGAGAGATACATAAGTCCGTGAATCCTCAGTTCATGTATGTGTGGGAGGACTTACCTTGAAATCCCGCTTGAGTGATGTTGACCTTCCCTGTGAAATCCCAGCAGCGATCACTGAACCTGAGTGGATCATTGGTCCTTCCTGGAAGCACAAAATGACCAGCACTCAGAGGCTTTAACATCATCCTCCCAGGGATAGAGACTCAGGTGGGGCCAGTATCATTCACTCTATTACCTTTCCCACAGCCAGTCCCCCTACGACAGACAGAATCACACCGGACACCTTTATCACCAATGTCTGAAAACAAGGAAGATATATAAGGTTTAAGTAAATATACGTACCTGCCAAGTCATAGGACTCAAGAAAGGCTAGCACTGTGGAATGCTCAGATGGAGGTTCCCATTGATCCTCTCCACCTGCACTACAAATGCTAGGACAGCAACTAGGGCTCCTGCTCCACACCCGCTTAGGGATCTGGTGCTCTGTCATCCTTGGAGGACCTCTGTCCTTCACCCAGCACTACTTAACCTTGGAGATGTTTACTGGCTGGGGCTGATAGCATGGGCCCCCACCTCATTAGCAAATAGGTGTTGCTGCCTGGGGGTTTTGCCACCCACTCCATGTATATACCAGTAACCCTCCCCATACCAGGCCAGCCAACAGGAAGGTAGGAGCTAATGGACTGTGACTCCCCTGAACTATGTCAGTCTGGTGGGTACTCAAGGATGAGCAGAAGGCCAGCTGTGTCATCTGGGCCCAGCAAGGGTCAAAAATACATACAACTAGGGTCTGGTTCAGCAGTTTAGAACACTTGCAGAGAACCTGGGTTCAGTTCTCAGTACCCACATAGTGGTTCACAACTGTCTAAAACTTTGGTTCCAGGGGGTCCAACATCCTCTTCTGGCCTCCTCAGCCATCAGGCCTCCTCAGCTATCAAGCATGTATGTGGCATAGTTACATACATGCAGGCAGAACACTGATACATAAAATAGATCTTTACACACACACACACACACACACACACACACACACACACACACACACACAAATATACATGTCTCCCTTGGTGTATGGCCCCTGGTGCAGGAGTGGATCACTGGGGAAGACTTCATGTTCAATGCAGGTTCTAAGGAAGGCCCCTAAACCCATTCAGTTAGCAAAAGGTATTTAGTAAAACCTAAATGGTTCTAGGCAGCTTAGTATAGGTAACAGGTGAGTGCCATGTCCAGAAGCTCCATGCCCACCCTATTCTACAGTAAAGCAGCAGTACAGGTTTCTTGCTTCCCCAGAGTGTCACCAGGCTCAGGAGCACTCCAAAGGAGACCAATGCCCACCTGCCTTCTGAGATGGCAACAGGAGGTGGTCTCTGGTCAGATTGGCTTGAGCAGAAATGAACAGTGGTAGGTGGACTGTGGTCACAATTGCCCAGCCTCTATGGAATTAGAATGCTGCTGGTATTAAGCAGTATGAGTATTAGGAAAACTGAAAAATGGGGAAGAAAGGCAGGCTATCTCTCACCCTGACTCAGTCCCTCTGGATCTGAAACTCTCAAGGTCATGCAGTCTTGAGTTAAAAACATGTACTACACAGCTGCAACCACAATATGCTCATTGGCTAAAGATTCCTACAACTACTTATTATATATAAAGACCAGTTTTTGCTACTTCCATATGCACAACCTGTCATCACATGTATATAGGATGGCTGGTGTGCACACAAGACTGGGCTACGTATAGAGGAGCAAATGGATAAAAACACATTCAAACTGGCAGAAATCCTGTACCGTCCTGGATCAATATACAACTTACCTTGAGCCGCACCACATGGGGGATCTTCACCCCATTCAGGAAGCACTTGATCTGGGGGATCCCGCTGCCAGCAGCCACTGGCTAGAAAGACAAAGGTGACATTGACTAGACAAGTGAGTGGATACAGCACCCCCGCCCCAGACACGGGGAACGGGCCTGGGGAAGGGTTCCACGTCGGGGAAATAGAGGTGCTCACATCCCCCAACCCTAGAACTGAACAACCTCTGAAAAAGATATGGGGATGTGAGGGGCCATGGGAGGAGTCAGGAAGTCATATGTCTCCCAAGTGGACAGGGCAAGGGGATGCTCCAGGATGGACAGGGCACCCATCATGCACTTGGGAGGAACTAGAGCTTCCTTTGTATGGGTCAGTTACTCTGCATCCACACCGAAGATTCTGGATACTATTACTTCTTTTACTACCCCACAAAAAGGACAGGGAACAAAGAGGGACCTAGGAGAAGGGGAGACTCCTGGGAGCCCTGGTAAAAAGAGAAGTACCTTAGAGGGTCCATCCCTAGGTTGGGAGTACAGTCTCCCTGGGGACTGGCTGGTTTTGCTTTCTCCTCTGCTTGGATCCCTGCATGAGTTGCCCAAACTCCTGAGACACTGTAGGCCTTAGAATACCTTACTGTCTGGCTATGTGAAGACCTTTGTCTGCATATAAGCACGGAGTAGGTACGATGTACCTGTGAGAGTCCAGGTATGGAGTAGGTGGTAGGGAGGCTGTACTGTTGGGTTAAAAGTGACACTAATAAGGGTTGAACTGAGGAGACCCTAGTGTGTTTTCTGCTCTGACTGAACACATTTCCCATTTGTACCACACTGTAGTTCTCACTGGCAGAAAGCATCCAAGGTGGAGGAGCTAGAAGGGCCCATCCATTCACTAAGACTCTGCACCCACCCTGGATCTAGAACACCCAGCCTCCCGCACCAGGTGGCTGTACCTCTATGAAAGCCACAATCACGGAGCCCACGAGCACGAAGGCAGAGTTCAGTGTAGCCCACAGCAGGAGAGAGAAGGACAGGCCACCCTTCTCTGTGAATTTGTCGATGTCTCAAGGCTTGTCAAGGACAGGCACTGCTCACTTACACAGCCCACATCTGCCCTGCTTGCCTCACTCTTGTGGCCCACCTATGTGGCCCTGAGCATCTCATGGACTGGACCAGCACAGCTGCCAACTACCTAGCAGGCCATGGTGCTAAGTGGACAGCTTAGAGACAACCTGACAATCTCACAACCTGACTATGCCACATACATGCTGGGTGGGATGGTGGCGGGGTGTTTCCCCAGGGGCCAGGTCCTCTCTGTTCTTCACTATCTGCCTGTAAGGGCTCATGCTTGGTCTCTGCTGCTGAGCCCTATCCCAAAGTCCCATGCTGGGTGGCTCTGGAGGATACTGTCCTTGATGACTCTATACTTGAGGCCAGCCAGGTTCTCCACCACGATGTCAATGAAGCAGGCCACTAGGCCTGTGAGAATCCCGATGAGCGCACAGATGACCCAGCGCTTGATCTCCACTGTCCGGAAGGCCTGGGGTAGGGGGTGCATATGGTGTAATCAAAAGTGATATTGTAGCTAGGTGCCTGCTGTGGGCTGTTCACAGTTCGGCCCTTTGCCTAAACTGCCAAACGCAGCTTCCAGCCAACATTTCAGTGAATACATAGAGCTAGGGAAGCGAATGTGTACGTTATAAGGAGGTAAATGGCATTCCCTACATATTCACAACCAGTTACTAACATTCTAGGCACTGCTTGCCATCGGACACCTGCAGAACAATCTTCTTACCCACAATGACCATGGCCATCCCTCACAGCTTACAGTATCTGGGACCAGGAATTAGATAGCCTGCCTTTCTTTCCCGCAGTACAAACCACAAACAGTGGCTACAGAACCTAGAGGCTCAGGGATGAACAACAGAATGGAGACCCAGCCTGGCCTACCACAAAAGCACCCAGTCAGCAAGCCACAGGCTCGCTCTGCTCACTGTGTGATTGATCCGCCTTTCCTCCTCCAAGAAGAGCTGGTTTTCGCTGTTGTCATAGTCCAGGCTCTGCAGGTCAGGGTACAGGGAGCATGATTACTAACCAGGGACCTGGATGTTTAAATATAGCCAGGAACCGGGATGGAAGGGGTGGAGAAGGCAAGGCCTGGGCTCAGGTGGGAGGATGGGGATCCTACCTCATACTTGAGGGAGAGGAGCTTCTCATTGTGTGGGATCTCCTTGGGGAAGGTGTGAGGAGGATCTACTTCCTGTGGAAGAAAAAGAAGTCTCACACTCTCTTTAGGAATAGAACATGGAGGTGGGAGGTTCCTCAACCTATCTCAGAGACCAGCATTTCCTGACACCCAAGGCTGGGAAGTCACAAGAAACCTACAACCTTCCCCCACCACCCCCCAGGGGATACAGACATACCATGACTGAGATGGATTTATCCCAGGAGTACTAGGTTAGTTTAACACCCTAAAATCAATTCATGTGCTACATCATATACACAGGACAAAGGGTTGAGTCCATAGGCCATCTCATAGATATAGAAAAAGCACCATAAACATTCAATGATACTACATGTGATGGAACATACCAATAATCCTATAATTCCAGCACTCAGGAGGCAGACTCAGGAGGATTGGAAGTTTAAGGTCAACTTGGGTTGTATAGTGAGGTGATGTCTCAAGAGAGGGGCGAAGGGGACTAAGGGCTTATAGGAGGCAGGGGATGCAGATACATGGCAGAGTGCTTGCTTAACAGGCACAAGGCTCTGGGTTCCAACCCCGTTACTAGAAAACACACAAGCAAACAACTTCTAAAACAACAATAACAAAAGCACCCAAGAAGCTAAAATAGAAGACTGGAGAGATGGCTCAGCAGAGGACCAGAGTTTGGTTCCTGCCACCTATGTCAGGCAGCTTACAACAACTTGTAACTCCAGCTCCAGGGGGCAGTCCAATCCCTTTATCCTCTGAGGACACCTGCACTCACATTATATATATACCTATAATTAAAAATAAAATCTTTTAAGCCGGGCGTGGTGGTGCACGCCTTTAATCACAGCACTTGGGAGGCAGAGGCAGGCAGATCTCTGTGAGTTCAAGGCCAGCCTGGTCTACATAGTGAGTTCCAGGACAGCTGGGGCTACAGGGAGACCCTGTCTCAAAAAGACCAAACAAACAAACAAACAAACAAACAAAAAAATCTTTTAAAAAAAGAAGTTACAATAGAAAAGTGCTTCCCCAACCTGCTGGAGGCATCTATGAAACCCACAAATAGAGCTACACTCAACAGTGAGGAACTTTTTCCAACTCAGGCCAAGGCTACTCAATCTCTGTCACTTCTAGTCAAAACTGTGTGCTTGGGGATGGGGTTGGGGAGAGATCAGGCAGAACAAAGAAATAAATGGCATTTAGATCAGAAAGGGAAAAAATGAAAATTATTTTTTGCATATGACATGATCTTTTTGTTTTAGCTTTGGAGTTCTTTTTGTTGTTGTTGTTTTGTTTTCTGGTCTTTTTGAGACAGGGTTTCCCTGTAGCCCCAGCTGTCCTGGAACTCACTATGTAGACCAGGCTGGCCTTGAACTCACAGAGATCTGCCTGCCTCTGTTTTTTGAGTCAGTGTCTCCTTGTAGCCTCAGCCTGGAACTTGCTATGTAGACTATGCTGGCCTCGATCTCACAGACCTACCTGCAATGTGCTGGGATTAAAGGTATGTGCAATCATGCCTGCCATTTTTTTTTTTTTTTTTTAAGACAGGGTCTCACTACGTAGCCCTGGTTGGCCTCAAACTCTCAGAGATATGCATGTCTCTACTTCCCTAGTACTGGGATTAAAGGCAAGTGCCGCTACTTCTGGCTTTGTTTTAGGAGAGAGCTGGAATTTATGATCTTCCTGTCTCAGCCTCCTGAATGCTGGGATTACAACTGTGCAAAATCAACCTAGCTTGCCATGATTTTATATTCAGAAGATCCTAATATACCAAAAATTATTGTACTGAAGAGTATAAGCACCAATTACAATTCTATGCTTGATGTACAAACTGAAAGCAAAATTAACAATTTTATTTAAAATATCATCAAAAAGGCTAACAGGGGTACATGTTTTTAATCCCAGAACTTGGGAGGCAAGGGCGGGTGGATCTCTGGACATACAAGTCAGCCTGGTTAAGTTCCAAGCCAGCTAGTGCTATAGGGAGACCCTGCTCAAAAATAAGAATAAAAAAAAATAAATAATTCATCAAAAATAAAACACATTGGGAGCTAGGTATGGTGGTGCATGCCTTTGATCCCAGCACTTAGGAGGCAGAGGCAGGCACAGGTGAATCTCTATGAGATCGAGGTCAGCCTGGTCTCCATGGTGAATACCAGGCCAGTTTTGGCTATGGGGAGACCCTGTCTCAAAAAGATCAAAAATAAAAAATAGAATACATTAGAGGTCTGGAGAGATGGCTCAGCAACAAAGATCATTGGCTGTTCCTGAAGAGGACCTGGGTTTGTTTCCCATCACCCACATGCAACTAACAACTATCCTTAACTCTAGTTCCAGGGGATCCAATGACCTCTTTTGGCTTCCTTGGGTACTGCTTGACATAGGTGCACTTACACACTTCAGGTAAAACATTCATACACATAAAATAAAAATAAATAAAACAAAATAAAATGCATAGGGCCAAGGCTATAGCTCAGCATGGAGCACCTGTTTAGCATGTGTAAAAAAGCCCTGTGTTCAGTTCTTAGTCCCATCTTTTTAAAAAAATTTTGCCGGGCGTGGTGGCGCATGCCTTTAATCCCAGCACTTGGGAGGCAGAGGCAGGCAGATCTTTGTGAGGCCAGCCTGGTCTACATAGCAAGTTCCAGGACAGCTGGGGCTATAGGGAGACCCTGTCTCAAAAAGACAAAAAAAAAAAAATCTAGGGCTAGAGCATTGGCTCAGTATTTAAGAGCACTGACTGCTGTTGAAGAGGACCAGGTTGATTCCCAGCACCTAGATGGTGGCTAACAACCATTCTAACTCCAGTCCCAGGGGATCTGACACCCTCTTCTGACCTCTATAGGCATTGCATGACATGGGTGCACTTACATACATGCAAGCAATACTCTCATACACATTAAAAAAATTTTTCTAAAATACAAGCTGGAGAGCAGGGGTTAAGAGCACTGGATGCTCTTGCAGAGGACCCAGCTTAGATTCTCAGCACCGACATGGTAGCTAACAACAGTCTATAACTCCATTTCCAGGGGAATCTAATGCTCTCTGACCTCTGTGGGCATTGTAGGACATGGGTGCATCTACACACATGCAGGTAATATACTCATACACAAAAAATTATTTTTTTTTAAATTAAAAAATAAATTTGGCCAGGTGTGGTGGCACACGCCTTTAATCCCAGCACCTGGGAGGCAGAGGCAGGTGGATCTCTGTGAGTTCAAGGCCAGCCTGATCTACATAGTGAGTTCTAGGCCAGCTGGGGCTACAGAGAGACCCTGTCTCAAAAAGACAAAATAAATAAATAAATAAACAAATAAACAAATAAATTTAATGAAGTTTAAGTCTCGTACACTGAAAACCACCAAACATTGTTGAAACAAATCAAAGCTATAAATGAACGAAAAAATAGTCTGTGTTCAAAGACCAGAATTACTATTGCTAAGACTCAATCAGTCTGGCTGGTATGTGGCTAAGTACAGCGCTTACCTAGCATATGAGTCCCTAGGGTCAATCTCTAGCATTAGGCATAAAAAAGATTCAATGTGCCAGGCATGGTGGCGCACACCTTTAATCCTAGCACACGGGAGGCAGAGTCAGGTGGATCTCTGAGAGTTTAAGGCTAGCCTGGTCTATATAGTGAGTTCCAGGACAACTAGAGCTACAGGGAGACCCTGTCTCAAAAAGCCCCCTGCCCCCCAAAAAAGATTCAATGCCATCTCTACCCTGCTGCTGTCCATCTCTTTCCTGAGAGAGGATCTAACTGTGTAGTCTGGAATGGTCTCAAACTTGTAATTCTCCTGTGTCAGCCTCCAGAGTGCTTAGATCACAAGTGTGTATTGTCAGGAACAGCTTTATGCAAATCTCTATCTAAATCTCTGCTGGCTTTTTTAGAAAAAAATTGACAAGACAGTTCTAAAATCTATGGAGACAAAAGGAAACTCCAAACAGGCTACATAACCTAGAAGAATAAAGTTGTACCACTTCAGTGCAAAGTATGGTAACCAAGACTGAGAGGCCCACAAAAGGATAGCATCTATATCAAAGGAGAATAGAGTCCAGAAAGAAACCCAAAAGTTATGGTCTTTGGCTTTTTAATTTAATGGGGGATGGAAGCAGTTGTTCCCACAAATGGTGCTAGTACACTGGATATCCACACATAGGAGCATCAACGAAATTAGACCTTTACTTCATATATCATACCCAAGAATTCAAGAATTCATATAAAATGGAAACCACTAAACTCAGAAGAATATGAGTAAATTTTTATGGCCTTAGATTAAGTTGTTTCTTAATTCTGATTAAAAACACCAACAACAAAAAACCATAAGCAACAACAATAAAAATAAAGAGGCAAATAGGACCTAAAATAAAAAAGCCAGGTGTGGTGGTGCAAGCCTTTAGTCCCAGCACTAAGGAGGCAGAGGCAAGCAGAGCTCTGTGAATTCAAGGCCAGCCTGGTCTACACAGTGAGTTCCAGGCAAGCTGGGACTATAAAACCACCCTGTCTCCAAAAA